AATATTTTGAATATGCAAATAATTTGGGTCAACAACCCAACTCCATGGGACTGTATACTTATTTAAATTCAAGGTTAAATACAACGGAAATTAATGTTACGTTTTTTATTTATACATCTATACATTCTACATTATTCATATAAACAAAAACTACCAAAACTATATTTATGCAAGTCATCAGTTTCTAATTTCGTCACAATTAAAAGTGCAAAAAATAAAAATGATCTAAAATGTTTATAAGCCTAAACCTTTATGCCGATTTTCATAACGATTGGACCTCATTCCATTCAAAGTTTAATTTCAGAAAAACACTTAATACGGACGTTTAACTCACCTCTAATCACTAGTATTATGATAAAATTTGGCACAAATAAGTTTTATATGAATTAAAATCACACCGTAGAATTTTATGAGGATCGGTCCATATTTGACCCTAGTCGCCATATAACTCCAGTTTTTTATTTTTATCTATAAATTGCTTAAACTTGTATATAGGTCGGCCATGTCCGACTGCACTTTCCTACTCCTTTTGCTTTGTTCAAGTGTGTGTATGTATATATTTCCAAAAGATATATTTTATAACCTAAAAAAAATCAGGAGAAAAATTTCTCACATACGATGTGTCACGTACGATATTTAAAAATGTTCATTACAAAATTATATTAATTTTTTTTATTTAAAAATTATGGATTACTAATGAACAATATGTAAGAAATTAAAACAAAAAAGATACACCTATAGAATTCGCAGATTTTCGTAAATATTTACATGTACTTTAAAAACACTTCCGTATTTTAATCCATATTTTGGAAAACAAGGTTCCGAATGGGATGATTCCTTTTGCAAATATAGTATTCTTTAAATGGAACAGAATGACAAAATTGTTTTCCAAGTACTCCTAATTTTACAAAATTTATACCACTCTAAAGGCATGCGAATTTCACATACCATCGTATGGAATTGCCCATATGTATATATTACTATCAATAATAAATACATTGATTCTCAATTTTCAGAAAAATTAATTTCTTCCCTTCTGCAAGTTCACAATATTTACAAAAAATAATTTCTTCCCTTTTGCAAGTTCACAATTTTATAAAAAAATATTACTTCTTCATTGAAAACAAAAACAACTATTGCCTTTTCCACCTCACTAAAAACAAAAACAATTAAAACTGTAAAAGATAAAAAAATGTTTCCCTTTTAAATTATTTATATGTACTTTTAATATAATTACATACATATTATTATACAAAAAAAATATTCATTACATGCAAAATAATTTTTCCTCTACAAGAAAATTTTTCAAAAATAAATTCATTGATTCTCAATTTCTCTCAAGAGAGAAAAACAAACCAAATAAATTTTTTCACACAAATTCTTAAGAAATATCATCTTGCAAATTCCCACAAAAAATATTCGTCCCATTAAAATCAATTTGCAATTTTCCACAAAAAAATTTCTTCCCAAAAAAAAAAAAAAAAAAAAATCCTCCCAAATGTCCGTCATTAAAAAGTGGCCTGGAACCGCTATAAATATATTACTCAAGTGTGAAGCCCCTTGTTGGTAGAATATTCATTACATGCAAAATAATTTTTCCTCTACAAGAAAATTTTTCAAAAATAAATTCATTGATTCTCAATTTCTCTCAAGAGAGAAAAACAAACCAAATAAATTTTTTCACACAAATTCTTAAGAAATATCATCTTGCAAATTCCCACAAAAAATATTCGTCCCATTAAAATCAATTTGCAATTTTCCACAAAAAATTTTCTTCCCAAAAAAAAAAAAAAAAAAAAAAATCCTCCCAAATGTCCGTCATTAAAAAGTGGCCTGGAACCGCTATAAATATATTACTCAAGTGTGAAGCCCCTTGTTGGTAGAGTGAACATTAGGATGTTTCGGAAATATAATATTTGTGGAAGAACAATGGACAATATAATTAATTAAATATTTTAAAACAGCATTTGGAAGACAATATTGTAAAATTAGCCATTGGAGACAATTTTCAGTTAGTTTATGATAACAACCCAAACCGCTCATCGAAAATTTAAAGTGAATGGTTACGTGGCAACTAGAGTTTGGGGTTCGGGAAATCCCGTCCGGGAATTCCCAGGAATACTCGGGAAAAGTATGTCGGGATTTCACGGGAAATTTTTTAATCATTCCCGGGAAAACGGGAATTTTTAAGTTAGCGTATTTTTTACATATTTTGGAAAAACTAGTGATTTTATAATTTATTAGCGATTCTTTAAAGGTAATTTAAAAACATCCTTAATGATGCAACAGGAAATGAAAAAATTCTAAATTAAATCTATCTAAAAGCTTAACATGAAGGAAGTAATAGAACCAAAAATGTTGACATTCTCTGTAATGCATTTCTAAAACCAACGTCTTTGGAAAGCGTTTGAGTTATCTCAATAGCTGGAAATTTGTCGACAAAATAACGGAATAGTTGATCTTTTCTCATATTTAATTAATTCTAAGAAGTAAGAATGAATAAACTATATATGTTTCTTTTTTGTTAACTATTCCCCTGCATATGGAGATATGATATGTTTAGTAGTCTAAGGTATGCTAACATGTATCATGTTGATTTTTTAAAAACCTGGTGTACAAGGACCATGTAGTGGATTATGTAATCCCATAATTTTAGCAAAAGAGTAGTTTTGGGATGAGTCTGATGTAATGCATGTTTGTATTACATGGTCCTTCATTTACATGACAATGTTAAATGTATAATGTTTTTTATATTTGGGTTAGTTTTGGACCAGTCCCTTTACACAAGTGTAAGCTTGGTTGGTTAACGTGGTAGTTCACTGCGCGCGAACAGCCAAATAGAATCGAAGAGACTCCGTTTTGACCAGACCACTGCTCTCGTCAGGTGCGGTATTGTATAGCATTAGATCCAGCCTGTAGCAGTGAAAAAGCTCATTCAGCTTAGACCCACATATCTTACCAAAACAGTTTCTCTTAGCGGCTAAAGTAGGGAATTCACAGAGAAGATGGAAGACCGTTTCATACTTTTCCCTGTCTTTGCAACTGCGACAGTACTCACTGAAGATGAGCCCAAGGAGCTATCAAACTCGATACATCCCGCGTATTTCGTGTTATAAGGTGTGTTGTGCGTTTCTCATTGAAAGAAGTCCACAATAACTTGCCCCCTTTACATATGCCTAGGTTATTGCCACGAATAGTGAGATAATGCATATATACATATATGTTTAAACTTTTTCACTAGCAAATTCTAAATAAAGACATACATACATATATACATATAATATGTTTCAAACAAAAATGTTTTACAAATATTGCATGAATATTAAAAAAATGGTTTCATTTGTTCTTAAAACACTGAATATTTTAGTTATCGTTAAATTTATAAAAAAAGTAGTAAGTTTTGTTAACAGATTTTGTTATTATAGTTAAATATTAAGTTTTACATAAATTCCCGGAATTACCGGGAAATGAATTTTTTCAAGGCGAATTTCTTTGAACTCGCTATTAAAACGATGCTTATCTAATTTAGGACACGTTTAAGTTGTAAGCACTATGATGTACGGAGACTCTTAAAACACTGAATATTTTAGTTATTATTAAATTTATAAAAAAAAGTAGTAAGTTTTGTTAACAAATTTTGTTATTATAGTTAAATATTAAGTTTTACATAAATTCCCGGAATTACCGGGAAATGAATTTCTTCAAGGCGAATTTCTTTGAACTCGCTATTAAAACGATGCTTATCTAATTTAGGACACGTTTAAATTGTAAGCACTATGATGTACGGAGACTTTTTTGAGTTTGAATATAGAGGTGTTGCATTTAAGAAATAATTTACAAAAACATAGTGTATTATTTAAAATTTTTGCAATTAGAAAATTTATTAGGACATTATCACCTATGATAAAAAACTATTTTTTTGTAAATCGTACAAATATTTTCTAAGATATAACAAATTATGTTTTTAACTACATACTGTACGGAGACTTATTTGAGTCAGTGTATGTATAGCAATTAATATTCCCTGTCAACAATTTTCAAAATAGTAACCAAAACTTAAAGCCGCATGGCGACTTATAAAAATTTGGTTAAAAATTTGTTTAGTCCCGGTCCACACACGGAAACTTTAGTTGAAAAACTTGTTCTTAATTCTCTTTTAAAGTTTCCTTAATGTCTACAAACTTTTGTTTCAGAACCTACGTGTTAATTGCATTGATTTGTTTTTGTACGAATGAGAAGAATAACAAAACGAGTTTCCGAGTACGAGAAACTCCGTTTCCTATTGTGGACCGGCAGTTATGTGTGCCCGTCTACACCAGGAAACTTTTTTTAGGAAACTTATAAATATATTGAAAACAAAAACAATTTTTTTAAATTTATTTGTTGTTTTCAATATATTTATAAGAATGAATTTTTTTTCGCATTTAGAGAAACCGACAGTTATTAAAACCTGGATATTTTTCATTGTATTTTTCATGTAAAATTTGGTACTGTGCATTTAAATAAATTCGAGTATGAATTTTTTTATCCATTTCATTTACATTGCGGCAAAAATGTTGATATTGTCTTTGCAAAAACTAAATAAAAGTGAATTTATGGTTCTTCTTCAATGTATTGATTTTCATCAAACCAGTGCGTGCGAGTTTTTTATCACACAATCAAAAAAATTATTTAAAAGCTTGTAGGTAAAAATATATAAAAAACGTAATATGGACAATTTGAATGTAAGAAAAGTGGCCCCATTCGTAAGAAACTTTTCCGCATATTTAATAAGTACAAAATTTTACCAATTACTATCATTTAATTTCTTTTAGACATATGTATGTATTAATTCGATCTAAATTTAATAAAAATAAGGTCATAATTCGAAAGTAATGTATTTTTGGGCACTTACTAATATTAAGTTGAGCATAATTAGTGACAATTTAGTTCATGTTTCCAAATTCCATTTGCTGTCAGGCAAATGAGCAAGTTTTAAGTTAATTCAAAATCTGACTATGTTTACTTCAAAACGCTGTGTATTTAGAATTACAAAAGAAATGAAAAGAATTTATACATGAATTAAGTTTAATTTAAAAAATCTTAATTTTCTAAGAAAGATACAAATTCCGTCAACTTAGATAATTGATATTCCGAGTCGGCATTATTATTTGCAATTGATGCAGGTTTCTTTGGATGTATAACTAATTGTTGATCACAATTTTCAACAGTCCAATCAAGGTCCATGCATTTCTGCTTAAATTGGTCTTCATGAAGATTTGTTAATGCGACTAGAGTTTCATCCAAAATTGAGGTGTATGAATTTCCGATCAACCGGAAAATGTTTTCCATTGTAATTTCTGAAAAAATAGATATGGAAGATTTTAATACAAGAATATTAAAAAATATAATTGTTAAAATTAACATATGTTAAAAATTGTGGAAAAATAATGTTTCCATTAAAAATTCATATTTCCAATTTTAAATTAGAACAAAAAATAGTAATATGTATTATACAAAAATTTAACACAATCGGACTTTTAAGAAGAATATAATTATAAGAAAAAACCCCATAATATTTCCAATTATGGTTCAAATCAGAGATTGACAATGAGTATATATGAAACAAGTAACATAACTGTTTACACATAATTTTTGATTACAAAGTATCAACCAATTTACACGATAATTTTTTTCATGAGTGCTCAGACGTCTGTTTTCATGGGATTTTCATGATTGTTTTTGAGATTCCTCTTTACACTCATTCGTACTGTTGATATAATAATAATTTAAACAAGTAAGAGTGTTATATTCGGCCATGCCGAATCTTATATATCCACCATCAAATCATCCTTATAAATAAATATTGATATTATCGATCTATGTATGTTAAATCATATGTCGATATTAATATGAACATCAGGGAAATATTTGGAAGAGGGCCTTTAATAAGGGCTTAAGCATGAACCGTGCTCTTCCGAATTAGGTTAGGTTGATAGGAGGATGTATACTACATCAAATCCGAAGAAATACACCTAGGCCACTATAGGGCCTGTTGTGCGCTCCAATTCATGAAAAAAAATGTTCACTGAATGTGTTATTTTTCCCATGTTCAGAAACTCAGTTTCCTGGACGTAATTCCTAAGAATTTTCCAATCAGTGTTAGTTAGGAATGACTGACAGTGGCAAAGAAAGTGCTCCAGAGTTTCACTGTCCTCCCCACATGCTCTACATTCGTCTGAATCCGCACGTCCAATTTTGTATAGATGTGCACGTAATCCTGTGTGTCCACTCAGAATACGTGCCATCATACTAACCTCAGACTTGCTAATTTTGAGGAGATTTCTCGTCTTGTTCTCATAAGGGTCAGCCCATAGAATCTTTGTGGTTCTACCCACCGTTACATTATTCCAGGAGGCCTTATGGGATTCTCTCATCCATATTTTTAATTCAGCTTTTGTTGCGTCGAATGGTTTTGCGTTTGTCAGGTTAACTATATCGAGCTCCCTTCCCTTTGAAGCTATTACATTCGCCCTTTCGTTGCCGACTACTCCCGAGTGGCCTGGTACCCATATGATGTAAACCTTACCTCTGGGAGAGTATTCAGTTAAAGCTTTCTTACAATTGTAGGTGGTCTATTTCTGTTTCTGGGTCTTCAATATAGAACCCCATGCTCACTTTGTCCCCTAATTTAGAGCCATCCGTCTAGCAACGGATTCCTACTGGTATTTATAACCTTCCAATGTGTCCAGTATACATTGATGACGTGATAACCGTTTTTGGCCAGTTCGCCTAAAGTAAAGAGCCGTTCGGCTGTAAGCGCCGCCTCATATCTTAAATATGTTTCAATGGGTGGAATATCTAGCAACGTTTCCAGAGCCTTGGTTGAAGTAGTACACATGGCACCACTTATACCCAAGCAGCATGTACGCTGATCTCCCTGTAGTAGTTTGATATTACACTTTCCCAAAGCAGTCCACCAGATTATTGAAGCATAAGCTAGAATTGGTCTAATTACACTTTTATAAAGCCAATTTGGCATAGTAGGACTAAGACCCCATTTAATGCCATGCATGAAATGGTCACCGATGAGCCTTGTTGATCCTATCCTCTATGTGATGTCTCCATTTTAATTTCCGGTCAAGTATTACACCTAAGTAGTTAACTTTGTCTGTCACCGGTATCTTCTTGCCCAGGAAGCAAGGTTCAGTATACGTAGAAATTTTTGTCTTTCTTGTGAAAAGACAGATTTCCGTCTTCGCCGGTTTAACATTGAGGCCTCTCGGTTGAGCCCAGCTCAAGGCCGTATTCAGAGCCTCCTCAGCTCTTCTACATAAGTAATTTAAATCCTTTCCCTTTAAAAGTATTACGACATCGTCTGCATAGAAGACAGGTCCAAGTCCTTTCTCCGTTAGGGTCTTTAGGAGGCTATTAATCGTGGTAACCCAGAGTAAAGGTGACAAAATGCCACCCTGTGGTATACCGCGAAATACCTTTTTCCTGATAGTTATATCGTACATCTCGCAGCTTATCCATCTGTTCCTTAGCATGTAGTTGATCGAGTTACGGAGCACCCGGTCAACATAAAACTGGTCTAGGAATTGGATAAGGTATCAGTGTGCACGTTATTGAAAGCGCCTTCGATGTCAATGCATACCGCCAGTGTATACAGTTTGCTATCGAAAGATTCACGTATGTAGTGGACGACTTCGTTTAAAGCAGTTTCCACCGATCGTCCCTTTACATAAGCATGCTGCTTATATTTAAGGTCTTTGTATGGTATACTGCTTTTAACCGGGAAAATGCCATCCGGCCCTGCAGCTTTATAGGGAGCAAAGCTCTTGATTGCCTCTTTAACCATGTCAGATGTAATAACTATTTCCGTGTTACCCTCCCCTTCCAACAATATCGGTTCATCTATGTTATTCGATATACCGGGTGGAAAATGAGAGTCCATTAGGAGTTTCATTGTCTCCTCCATATCCTCCAGCCTCCAGCCCGTGTCATCGATCATAGATTCCGGTTGGACATGAGTTTTGGATAGGATTTTTTTTATCTTCGATACACAGAAAAGTTTCCAGGAGTCTCGTTTGGCTTTTCGAACGATTTTCTTATATTCACCAAGTTTATTACGATACTCATCCCAGTATACTGCGGTCTTTTTACGTCGTGCCCGGTTAAATAGTTTGCGAAGAGTCTTCCCAAGGTTCCGGATCTCCCCAGTTACCCAGGGTTTCTCCTGGGCAGATCTCCGCTCTCGCAGAGGGCAGCTGTCCTCGAACGATTCTACCAGTGCACTTGTGAATGTTTACACTTTGGCATCTATGTGGAGTCTACGTTTTAGTTTTCAATTAAATAATCTATAGTTTATTAAGAACATTTATTGATAATATAAAAAGTAGATAAAAGTTTAAAAAAATAAGTAAAAAACGTTTAATATAAAAAATTACTCGTCACACACGTCTTCATTATGCAACGATCGAACACAGACTGCCTGATTGCTCTTTTTGGGTTGGTTGCATGAACTCATTCCACAATTCGGCCTTCCTGATGTGGATTCGTCTCGAATTCGTCATTACTCAAACTGGAATACCATGGCTTCATATACTCGGCACAGGTTGTAGTAAGTCTTGGACCATCAGTATCTCCAACTCGCTCTACGTTGTACTGTTTTCATACTGTGTAGCTTTTTTCCGTCGCAAATTGTAGGACTTACGGTTCTCCATCTGAATCTTCGCCATCTGTTCTTTAGCACTTTGCCTGGTTTGATCTCTCTCGTCACTGAACTTGGACACGATTTCGTGTTCAATCATCCTCTTTATCTAGCACTGCTCAGAGGTACGTATTTGGATACCAATTAGTAAGTCGAACGGCGTCGTGTTGATACTCCTTGAGTATGTAGAATTAATAACCTGTTGTACCTTCCCGACGTGTTTGTACCACGTAGTTGGATCAGATACACTTAACTTCTACAAAACGGAGATTATTACGGAATTGAGTCTTTCCACTTGTCCATTTGCTCGGGGTAGACCGGTGGTAATGAGATGATGTCTTATATTCTGAGCTTGACAATAATTCCTGAAGTCTTCGGAAGAAAACGCAGTACCTCTATCTGATATTATCTGCATTGGATTACCAAAGGACATACTCTGAACCTCTAATTTCGCTATCACTTCGTTTGTAGTAGTGGATTTAGTCGGATGCAACCAGCAGAATTTCGTGAAAGCGTCCATTACGGCTAATATATGTTTATATTGCTTTGACGTTGACTCCAAAGGTCCTAGGTGATCTATGTGATACGTATGGAGAGGTACCTTATTGAGAGGATGAAGTTCGCCTTCATGCTTTCCACGTTTCTTGTTGTTTATTATACACGGTATACAGTTCGAAATATGGTATTCAATTATCTATTCCAGTTTAGGAATATAATACTCACGCCTTACAAGCTCTTTCACTTTTTTCACTGCAAAATGCCCTTTTTCGTGAGCAAGTCGAATAATTTCCCTTTGCATGCCTTTCGGAACTACGATGACTTCATAACCATCAACCAACTTGTACAAAACATCACCCTTCGTAAAATAGTCGTCATAATGTTCTCTATCTTTGAGGGTGGAAAATATTATCTGTAGCTCTTCGTCCTTCAGCTGGGCTTGTTTAATCATCGTCAGTGTGGAGTCTTCACCTATCATCATAACGGGATACCTGCTCAATGTGTCGACATGTTTTATTCGAGCACCAACGCGATGTTCAACCTCGTAATCATATTCTTGAAGGAGTAGTACCCACCTTGCGACCCTCGTACATAGATCTTTTTTCTCCAGCGTCTTTGTAAAGGCGTTACAATCGGTTACGATTTTAAATATCTCAAGCTCATAACTCGAGTACTTTCGCTCAGCATCCATAGTTTTCCTGCTCATATAGTACACAGGATGTAGTTTTCCATGATTCGCTGCTACCTGCATTAAAACTGCAATCGACGCATCTGTGTGGACTTCGGTTTTACTGTTTTGATTAAAAATACTAAGGACGGGCATATTCACCAACATATTCTTTAATTCATTAAAGGCTGTCATTTGTGGATCCTTCATTTCGAATTTTGTATTAGACTTCGTCAGATCGCTTAACGGTTTTGCAATCAAGGAGAATTGGGGTATAAATTTTCGAAAATATCCAGCTAACCCTAGAAAATTTTGTAGTTGCTTCATATTCCTCGTAATCGGGAACCTTAAAACGGCTTCAACTTTACCAGGCGACGGTGAAATCTATTGATTTTCGATGACATGGCCTAAAAACTCAATTCTCGTCTCCAAAAATTTACATTTCTTTATATTCAATTCGAGGCCACAGTCCACGCAAAGCT